CCCCAAACCCTAAACCGAAAGCACCGGAGCAGGCTGACGGCCTGCCAAATCGTTTGGCGTTGGCGGTGGCCTACGCGCCGAGACCTGGCTTTGAAGCCCCAGAAGTCTGGACACCCTAAAGAATACATATACATATATATATATATATGGTTCGGTTTAGGGTTCAGGGTTTAGGGTTTGGGGTTTGGGGTTTAGGGTTTAGGGTTTAGGGAACCATATGTATATCTATGACGAGAGCGCCCAGAACTCCAGGACACAGTAAATATGTAGCGAGGAAGGGGGTTCTGTTAGGGTTTCGGGTCGGGGTCTATGAGGCTTCTTCAAGGTTTTCGTGTCTTCATACAAAGACTCCCACTGACTTCGACATATTCTCAGCCTCGAGGCACGATAGTGGCATGACGTGCGTCAACCACGAGCCCTGGATGAGTTCAACTTGAAGCTTAGTAGAGATGGTAACCGTTACCCTAAGGCTCAAAATAGCCCAAAAGCCTTTCATTGTAGGGTCTTTGGGCCCAAAAGCCGTAAATGTATGAGTCCTTAGAGCCTTTGGGTCAGCCATCTTAGGGATATTAAAATCCCGATGTAGAATCCCAAAAGTTTACGTTTAGTTCCCCTTAAAAATCTGACAATTAAAGTAAGAGTTCAAGTTCCCTGGACCCCTATATAAGCACTAGAAAGTAGCTGTTACTGTCTTGCTTATCCAGGTGCATGGTAGCTCCGGGAGGTGATGAAGGTGAACCCCAAACCTTAAGCCTTGTTTTGGTGTTTATAGGGCTTTAGAGTCTTTAGAGTTATGAAATAAAAGCACCCAAGCCCGAAGACTCTCTACACAGCTCGGCCCCAGACGCCCGCTGAAACCCAGCATAATCCCAAGCTTAGGGTCTACGGCTGAAGGCTTATAAGGCCTTCCCCGTCGGTGCTTGCTTTGCCCTTTTAGAGATGTGGGAATATGGTTCGGACAGCATTCAGGTCGGTACTTGGAGCTGGGGCGCCCGCTCAAGAAGTGGAGGGGCACAGTGGGAAATCAGTACACTCTGCAGAAAGACAAGATCATCCACAACAGGACCGGAGCTTCGCGCCCCGACTTCGTCGACGAGAACTGGAGCGTGGAGAACGGCCATTGCACAGAGACGGCTGCCCTGGTGCTCAAGCATGAAAACGTGGCGCAGCGCCGATTGGTCTTGTCCGCGCGCTCCACGTTCAGTGCCATGATGCACCTCGACAATGAGCCCTTAAGGTATCAAGGGTGCGCAAGTAATGTGTTCTCCTGATTAATAGAAACCCTTGCTCCCGGTATTTCCCTGGACAACCCACCCACACAACAAAAATCCGCACTAGTGCCTAAACATTTGGGCGTGCCCAAATCTATTGTGCCCTAAACCCTAAAGCCCTAAACCGGTATACTAGACTCGCCCGTAAAAGGAGAAAGCGGCGCTCGGAAGCGACCCGGAAGAGGAAAATCCAGGCTCCGAGCATATGTATAGGGGCCTTAATAATTAGAATAGGCTTTGGGGGGGTATATTATAGCATTGTTATGAAGAACCCCCAATTCTAATTATTAAGGCCCATAGCATTGTTATGAAGAACCCCCAATTCTAATTATTAAGGCCCCCTACATTACACTTTGGATTTCTGTCGGGCTTCGGCTGAAAGCACTCGGTTAATTAAGTTTAGGGTCTACAGAATGCAAAGCCTCGGGTGAAAGGACATAAGATTTAAGGTTGTTGTGGTTTAAGTGACATAAATGTAGTGTTCAGGGTTTATCGTTTTGGGTTGATGCTTCTGTGCTGCTGCTGCTGCTGCTGC